AGCAGATGATCATGATTATAAAAAGAGCCGCGTCGAATGGCGTAAAAACGAACTTTCCAGCTGCTATAGTTTTTGAGAAAAATGTAAATTACTGTGTCAAAAATGTCATAGCGTTACCTTTGGACAAGCCGTTAGATCGACCAGAAAATAGTCAAAATAAAATTAACAATGTCAGAGTATTGCTTACAGCATAATACAGGTCTTAGTTATGGGAGACTGATATGTACTGTACTAAACACTCTTCTGTTAGAAACCTGGCGACAGGAATTCTATTCAAATTTAAGTCGTATGAAACTCTTAGAAAACACATAAGAAAAAAACACATGATTATTTCCATCGTGTTCCAGCGATAAGGAATAGGTACAAGATACAAGCAGGGGATGGAGATCTAACATCAGGCGATCAGACAGATTAGAGCAGATGATCATGATTATAAAAACGAAGATTTTTGGTTAAAAACTCCAGTTTCCAGAAAAGCTATTTAGACAGGTAACGCTGTGACATAAAAAGGTCCTATATTCTAACTAATTAAAGCGCAACTAACTTCTAACGCTCTCATTAAAGCGCAAATTCCTGCGAATTTAGAAGAGCTAATAAAAAGTGTCCAGAGGAAAGTGTATAGAGGAGCTGACGAACTTTCTTTCGCTAAAAAAGTTTTTTTTCAGAACCCGTTACTTTATTTAAAAAACACAATTTACTAAAGTAACGCGATGACACACTTTTTTTCGCTTGCGTATTCTCACTAGTTAGAATTCGACTGAATAGGCTTTCTAGGTCTCGAGGTAGATATTTTTTCGACTTTCACAACTAATGATTTCAGAAATAAGAATGAATAATCGAAAACGTAAAATGTCTAAAACGTCTGCTACTCACATATATTTTTCTTAAGACAATACTACTCTCTTTATTCTAAGAGAGCAATTTAGAAGCTTAAGAAAATAAAATGTTAAATCTTCTATGCAAGTCATAAAAACATGTGTGAAAAATCGAAACAATTTTTTTTTCATTTCACTTTTCATTCTGGCTTGTAACGCGTTTTGATGTGCGATAACAAATACAACTCATCATGATTATTCAAGGAAAAGAGCCAACACAGATTTATTGATCGATAAAGACGTGAGTAGCACCATGAAGTGTGGTGGGCAGTACTAGGTAGTGCTGGATAGTAAGACTTACTGGAAATTGCCCAAACGGAATTTGGATTATGGAATTTTGCCGTTTTGCCAAATTTCACTAGAAAATGGCCACAAATGTAAATTGATACGAATTTGACTTTAATGTGTTCGCTGCAGTTGGAAATTGAAGGTAGAGATTACAAATATATGTAGGTGCAGCGCTAATAAATAATATAGGCGATATATATCGCTGTAACAGCGTTTGTTAACGATCGTTTTCTGGCGTTTTTTGTTCAACGCGTTTTCTAACTGTATTAGAATGATCGTTGAAACGCGTTTGCAAAAAGAAAAAATTTCGAAGTTATATCATTTTAACGTCGTTAAAAACCAACAAAAACGCCAGAAAACGGTTAATTCAACGATCGTTAACAAACGCATTGTTGAAGAACCCATTATCCGAAACTTTAGAACGACTAAAAACGCGTTCAAGAGATCGAGAAATACTTTAAGATATTATTTTATTAAAATGATGATTTATCCTATTAGATCTGATCAAATCAGTCTTGCGTTAATTCATTTGACGCAGTTTTTGTCCGCGATTAACGCTAACATACTTTCACCTTAAAAGTCTTTTTCAGCGCCCCTGCAAACATTATACAATAAAAAAAACTCTTCTCGCGTTAAATGACCTACTCAAAGGATTTTCATTATACCACCTCTTTCACCTACAGCAAATATCAAGTATTACACATCGCTCGACAGAAACCTTCCAGGGTTACAGAATAATATATAAGACAATCTTGAGAACATGTAACTGGGTAGTCTAACATCCGAAATACTCACTAGTATCTCCGCCAACCGGTGGATCTACGTCATTCATATTTATAATAATGACTGATTTTGTCGTTAACCACCCTAGTCTACATAGGTTCCCGACCTAAAAATCACCGAATTTGGGTGTATTCGGAGAATAATTGCGGCTGAACGATATAGATCAATGGAGCTGTTCAGGTGTTGAATAGTATTTCTGATATGAAAATATCTATTGACATGTTCTTCTGGAAACATTATATACGATTTTGTACTCCGTAAAATTCTCTGTTGAATGGCATATAAAGTGGAGTGGTTAAGGACAAATTAAATGAATGATACGGTATCGCGGCGTTATACCAATCGTACTTCTGTCAATGGTATAAGTGTCTCGATTTTATGCCAATGGATATAAAAAAATGTTTAAACCAATATTGGTATAAACGAAAAGTACTTACACCATTCGTGTAAGAGTTGAAAAAAAAAGAAGGTATTGGCTTAAGTACACTAACACTTTCAACTGTGTGACTGATCACAGCGAAACTATTTGATATATAATAGTGCTATTTCTCACTATCAGTATCATTGTTTGTATTATTGGCAGCGGCAGCATTATTAATATTCTGATTATTTTTTGGACGACTCAATGTTGGTTCTCCAGCTAAGAATGACCAAGCACGAACAACTGCTTTCAATTGCATTTTGTTGTGTGTATACATTTCGTGTAAACGGATTTTTATGCCAATTGTATAACTCCTGTTTTATATACCAATATTCGTATAAAAAATCAGTGTTTTTGCCAACATTAGTGTAAAATTTTTTTTTTATATCCATTGGCATAAAATCGACACACTTATTCCATTGGCAGAAGTACGATTGGTATAACGCCACGATTTCAATGATACAACCATCAATGAGCTTGTCCTATCGGTTTTCTAAGATGCCACCGGGTATTTCGGATCTTAGACTACCCAGTCACATTTTCTTAAGTCTATCTTATATATCCCTTTGTAGCCCTTGAAATTGTCCATCGAATGATATACAAACTAGAGTAGGCCTGCGAAAGTTCAGCGTTCCTTTTTAGCGTTCTCTTTGAACGTAACGCTAAAGCACGTTGACGTTCCTTGAACGTGAACGCTAAACATGACGTTTTCTGAACGCGAACGCGAATGTTCTGAAGAAACGTTAATGTTATTTTATATGAACAGTGTTACCTAGTAGTAGACCACGTGGAACAGCTTTCTCCATTAGCAGTTGTATTTAGTGAAAATCCAACGCTGGTTTGCCCCAAATGGGTTAGGATAACAAAGAAATACGTATATGGTTTCTGTAATTGTTTTGACCAAGGAACTTCGGTTCCAGTGCCGGAAAAACTAGCCTTCTGGTCACGAAATCTGCGATCTGTTTTTGGAAGAATCAATGTCTTGATCAGATTATAAAGGGGTATGCTTCAAAACTGCTAGTCCTTCAAAACTTTCGAATAATGGGTTCTTCAACAATGCGTTTGTTAACGATCGTTGAATTAACCGTTTTCTGGCGTTTTTGTTGGTTTTTAACGACGTTAAAATGATATAACTTCGAAATTTTTTCTTTTTGCAAACGCGTTTCAACGATCATTCTAATACAGTTAGACAACGCGTTGAACAAAAACGCCAGAAAACCATCGTTAAGAAACGCGTTATTCTGAAGTTTTGAAAGACAAAAAACGTGTCTAAACGGCTCTTTAAATGATCGTTTGCTAACGCGTTATGAAAAAAAGACTTTTATCCTGCCGTTTCTAGTGATTTTTTTCCCCTGGCTACATACATATCCTATCAATTAATTTTTCAAACTTTGAGATGATAATTAATTGTAAACGGTTAAATTTAATTATCTACTTGATGTTTTGGAAAACTAAATGATGCGACATATTTCAGACGTCAGTATAATTCTTTTTTCACGAGGAAAGGTAAAATACTTTAGGTGAAAATTTGTTGGCTTATCCATTACCTTCCTCGCTATCACATGCTTTGAGTGGATCATACAGGAAAGAAAGTTAAAATGACACATTTACAGTATCATATGTGCCTTTCATGAGAAATCGAAATTTTCTGTTTTTCATAGGGTTTCTGCGCCTTGTGACCTAATACAGGAAAAAATCTAATCGGGAAATTCAATAGTGTAAACACTTAAACTCATCTTAACAGGAATAATAAATTACTTTATTAACTAATGTATGCTAAAACAGATTTGGTAACGAAAAGAGAATTTTTGACTTTCTTTTTCACTCGGTACAAGACCAAGGAATCACTAGTAGAAAAGATTTGAGAATACGATAAACGGATTTCATAGAATTAATGCAAACACTATTGCCTTCTCTGAAGTCAGGCAAAGATCAAAGTTTATTCTATATGCTCTGCAATTATCAATTACAGTCTTATCGGACTATCAAGCTTGATGTTCAACATTCGCCTTTTTTGCTGTAACTTCGACTTCAAATTTCATTCGCTCGTCGAGTAGACCAGCAGCAATAAACATTGTAGCAGCTGGTTTTACTTTCGCCAAATATTTCCGCATTACTGGCCAACATGGTTTAAAATCATCACGAGAAGTAAGGATGTATCTAACACGCACAACGTCATTAAATGAACTGCCCGCCTGGTCTAATACTTGTTCAATGTTTTTAAATGTTTGTTCCGCTTGTTCTACAACATCATCAGATATTTTCATTGTTGAATAATTATAACCGGTACAACCAGAGACAAATATCCATGGACCATCCACAATCGCCCGTGAGAAACAAATATCACTTTCAAATGGAGAGCCTGAAGTTATTTGAGAGTGACTCTTAGCCATATTATAAATCGAAGTGAAGTTAACAGTAACACAAATGCTTAAAAAACGTCGAAAAGAGGCACAAGAGAAATTATTACACTTCGCAAAGTAATTTGATAGATAAGGAAGACACACGTATATAGGTTTTTATATACTATCCTGACGCCAGTGATAACAGCAGCAGAAAAACGAAAGAAAATTGTCTATTTGCTTAAAAACGAAAGAAAAGAAAAAGTGTCAGCTTAATATGCAGCTCTGCTATGTATAATAAAGAAGTTTTGCAAGAGAAGTTATTCAATGTGCAAATTCTTTCTGTTGTATTCACTCTGATAATCGAGTACGTGTCCATAAAATGACAATAGTAGTGTACGAGAGAGAAAAATGTTTTGATCGAACTCGTCCTTATGTAGTTTTTTGAATATACCGCAAGAAGCGATAAATCATCAAAACACTGAAGCAGAGTCTCTACGTAGCACTACTTCTTAAACGACAAACGTTTATTTTCTCTTCTTGCTAGTTAATCCACGATTGTTCCTCCAGAACTAATCTATTAATAAATTTTGAAACTATGGATTAGTTTGACTTAATCAGTAGGAAGAAAGAAAGCACAAGAGACAGTTTTTCACTTACTGCTTAATAAAAACATATGGACTAAACTCAATGTGTTAGAGATCGAAGCAAGAGACGTTGAAAATGGTATTCAGATAGAATATTCTTTGCTCAAAAGTTCTAGTAACAAAAAATACGGTTGTTTTTTTGATATCGATAAAATAGTAAGAGCAGTCAGCTGCTTTTAGATTCATATTTACTGAATAAAAATGTAAATTTTTTTTTTAAACAAAAAAAAACTCGACGCTTCGACTATTTTAATTTTCATTCTCAAGACAATAGAGACGTTTAACGCGATGTAAAGTTGAAAGAAATATGAATGAAGAAATAAATAGAGGGAGTAGAATACATCTTTTTTTGGCAAGGGAGAAAAAGAAAGAAAGAAATAGCCCCAAAACATAAACACATATTTCAGTTTCAGTCCCTTAAATTTAAGCGTCGCAGGAGGTTTTTTCTTTTAGCGATTTTGCCCAAAATCATTTTTTTGATCAAGCTTGATAGTCCGATAAGACTGTAATTGATAATTGCAGAGCATATAGAATAAACTTTGATCTTTGCCTGACTTCAGAGAAGGCAATAGTGTTTGCATTAATTCTATGAAATCCGTTTATCGTATTCTCAAATCTTTTCTACTAGTGATTCCTTGGTCTTGTACCGAGTGAAAAAGAAAGTCAAAAATTCTCTTTTCGTTACCAAATCTGTTTTAGCATACATTAGTTAATAAAGTAATTTATTATTCCTGTTAAGATGAGTTTAAGTGTTTATACTATTGAATTTCCCGATTAGATTTTTGTTCCATATTTAGGTGGCATGGCACAGAAATCCCTATGAAAAATTTACGAGACGTTTACGAGGATTACGAGAGCAAAAATAACTTATAACGGTTTCCATGTACTGGTTGAAAATCGACTTTGAGGAAATTGTGTCCAGACAGGAAGCGTTCACTTTAATTCTGTCTCATTGTCGAATTTCAGTTTCAGTTTTATTTTCAAGTCACTGACGAGGGAACCAACCGAGATGATAAATCGCTTTTTAATTAAAATCTAGTGGGTCGCAGATTATCGGCCATGCTGATTCCGAATATGACCACGAGAGCTACAATCATGCCTCGTTAAAAAAGGTTTTGATTAGTTTCTAGAGTTTTTGATAAACTGGTTTTCCAGAAGATCGGATCTTCGAAGTGCCATGTGGAACCCCCATGGTCATATTCGGAATCAGCATGGCCGATAACCTACAACCCACTAGATTTTGATTAAAAAGCGATTTATCGCCGTGGGTGATTCCCTCATCATGGAGTATGAAAAAGCTGAGGAGGCGGAATTATGTGTTAGTATTAACTATCTATGTTCTGTTTTAGAATTTGTTTTGTGAAACTTTGATGTTGTTATATATAATAAATTAGTCGGATTGTTCAGAAAAATTCTCAAAAATCATACCAGAAGGCTCGAAACAATTTTGATGATCACGTAATTAGAAAGAAAGGGTCAAAACGTTAGCTGTGTAAATATCTGAATGATGCTTTAATGGCTCCGTTTTTTATACACTCGTACGACAGAGGTACGAGTGTATAAAATGTTTACATTGAGTGCATTTTACGGATACGAAGTTCTCGAGTCGGTTGGGTACGAGCTCAAAAACGTCTCATAAATATAGAGCCACGGTACTTTTGAAATTTTTCATTGAAGCCAAGTGGCTAGGTCAAATCTGAATAGTGATTTGGATAGCCCCTGAAGTTCTCTATCAAATGCAGTATGCTTATCCTTCATGTTTGGATAAAATAATCTAAATTTTTCATGATGCTCTTCTCAACAAGTATAAAACGATTGTGCTATTTTCCGACACGCGTGCAAATACAAATAAAAGGTTTGAAATGATCTATTTAATCTCAACACGATAAAGAAAGAAGATCAACAGAAACCAAAAACGTTCCACCTGGAAAATGGTGTTTGATACCTCTGATAAAATTAAACGAAACAAATACTGATTAACGCGTGATATTTTCAGAGTGCATTAGAAACTCTTTTTTCGCTTTTGTTGTGACCCTTTAGCCGCTTCACGAGATTTCTAGAAATTTAGCTTTTCCAGTTCGGTACATTACGATTCAGCGACGTAACCACCATTGGGTCGAAGGTAAACCATGATCCACCCCTTAGAAATTTCGTTTTGTCAAATTCGCACTGAAAAAACATTACTTTGGTTGAAATCACAAATAAAAATATTACACAAGAACTTCTAGTAAATTTTTTTAATATTTTTCCCATTCTGATAGTGTGTAGTTTCAAGAAACAAACCGAAGCTCACTGCTCAGCAACAAAATTTAAAAAGTAGTGAATGAAAAAAAATTTGACCTACCCGTTACCAAAATCCTGACCACTTTGCTGTTACGATACCCATTTCTTTTCATTCCATCGAGAAGAGCCGTAAAAGAGGGGAGGAGTACTCTTAAAATATCCTATCATATGTCATGGAAATATCAAAATTAATTAAAATATTCGACATACAGTAATATTGGTATCTATCTGATCAGGTAAGAAAATATTTCTTGGCCTAACCTTGGAGTTGAATACAAACTGCTGTGGGTTTAGAGTTACACCAAAAAATAGATCTAGATTTCTCAAGTATATACAATGAATATTTTCTAGACTTCGTACATGTACATCAGAAACTAAATGAATTCTTCTTCTAGATGAACAGTAATAGCTATTATTGTCACGAACTAAATTGTTCAATTGCTCAAAATGTCATTTGTTTACACTACAATAAGCGTCTGTGTACACTACACATTTACGATCATAGCCACCAGCTGGTGATTGAAGGTAGCTATTTATGTGATCATTTGAATGACCTACTTCAAAAACGTTATGATCAAAGTAAAGTGAATGGAAAATCCGATATTATTGAATGTTTACATCGATGGTGTTGGGATGTTTGCATTTAATAATCGATATTTATGTCCTCTCAGAAATACGAAATTCTGATAAAAAGTCAATGTTGAAATCAACATGTATCTTGATAGCCTTCAGTTTCTGCTCCAAGCATTTACGGTCAGAGGCTTCAGATATTTTTCGAAAACTTTTTAAACAGCTTTTAGAAAAAATGTTTTAGAAGATAACTTCTAAAAGAGTGTCTTCGGATGCCAGAAATCTTTTTTGTGCTTTTTGTGACATCTTACCTTGAAAATGAAGGAGAATGGAGAAGCATGTTTGATAACACGTTTTTATCTGTGCGATTAATGGTAGATGATCGGATGATGAACTTAGCAAGAACCTTAACTCACGTGAAACCCTCGCCTTCGGTATTGTGCTTCGATAGGGGTCAAGAGATTTGTATGCAAAGTGCAAAAAAGGAGGTCAACTTGTTGAGACTAAGAATCCTTGTAGGTGATAGTTGTAATATGAATGAATAAATATTAGAAATGGGAAGTGCAATATATAAGACCAAGACTGATTGATACGAAATCAGAATTTTAGTTTTAGAAAACTTTCTTGTCTCTTTAATCATATACCTTTTACTCGCTTATTACACTGTAATGTTGGGAACTATTTATAGAAAATGCTATCAAAAAGTCCATATATAAATTCCTTGAGCATTTTCTGGTTAGAATTGATAGAATTTACACTCGATTTTCCAGCATACTTCTTGAAATTCGAGGTCGAATTTCCAGTTCGATTTTCTAGAATTTTCCTTTTCCTACTTGTTCCTGCCAATCCAGAAAGAGTTGCCTGTGAAAAATGAACTAAAAGGCATGCAGAGCTCGCTCAAACGGCGTTAGATAGAGCTTCGACTTCTCTACAAAATTTGTGCTCTGAGGTTTAACACTTTATCTTATATCAAAATTACACAGACAAAAATTTGAAAATAACCACTTTGTCGAAAAATGCTATATGTAAAAGCTGTGTTGAACCACTGCGAATAATGAGTGTAACAAAAAGATTCTTTCAGGAAAACCCCCTGACGGTGTCTCCGACAAACCAGCAAAAAATATGTCGAATATAGTAAAGGCGCGCGTAATTCAAAAATCAAGTACTATTTTATTTTTAGCCTCTTTATAATTCGATATAGTACCTTTGAATGCTTTAATGTTATTCTAATAACACTTTTATTAAATTTTCTCCTTATCCGACTGCATCTTTTATTCAGTAACCCTTTATATTAATGAGGGAGCATGTCAAAATTTCAATTCTAATTTATTTTATTTTGCATAATTTCGGTTCCTTTGATTGTATTGTGGATACATACATTGACATATATATACTTCCAATATGTTCGTTTTTTTAACAGATATCTTTATAAGAGTAGACATTTTTCTGTTTAAAAAATAAAATCAAAAGTAACAAATTCTATGTTTTCGTCAAATGTTCATCTTTTATATATTCATGGAAGAGAGTACTCACTGTAAATTTATTTTGTATTGCGCCAACTTCGCGAACTAAATCTACATCAAATAGAGATAGCCCATTTACATTGTTATATATTGGTTTAAAGTACACGAGTTGTCCTGATCCTGATCTATTTTTTAGAAAACGATCCCTTTTAGTTTTCATGATATATGGCTATATGGATATATCTTTCAGACCTTTTTCATCTCATGGAACCCTACAAATGATCGATCTCTAATTCAAACCAATGCTTCACACCCAGTCATCTTTCCTCGTTGACAAAAGTTTGACATGGGTAAAATCCATCAAACCATTGACTAGTATGGTACGGCAACAAGATCTTCTTGACCGAGAAGCTTTCAGTAGAATTTTCACATATTTGCATGTGAAAGCAACAGAGCTGCTTGAATATGAACTAAATCTAAGGAAGCAGTTCAAGCAAAAAAATCTAGAATTTATTGCATGTATGTTTAAGGTAATGTTATGTTCTATTAGCAACTTAGCAGGCATGCACTGATATTCTAACTCGAAAACGATTCAATTCATTACAGATATTGCAAACATGACCACAGCAGTATTTATTCGCAAACTTGGAATATGTGAATTCACTCATACAGATCAAAATCTGGAAAATTTCACTATTGTATGGTTTGATGCTACTATAGATCAAACGAATGATAATCTAGACACAAAAGCAAGATTAAGAACTGTTGTTAATCATTTAAGAACATTTCATGATGCTGCTGCTTGCATTAAGTATTTGTCGTCGATAGAAAATGAAAAAGTGCTCTTAATTATATCTGGTACATTAGCTGACATGTATATTTCCATTGTGCACCAACTAGCACAAGTCGAATTAATCTACATTTTCTGTCTCGATAAGATCAAATATGAAGCATTGTTGATCAACAACAAGATTCGTGGTGTTTTTGCTGAGAAAGATCCGCTGATTCTCAAGTTGCAAGAAGATGCTAAACTTTTTGCACGTGATATTATGCCAATGAATGTATTCTGTTTAGAAAACGATGAACATTCAATTCATGATTTAACAAAAGGAAGTGCATTATTCCTTTGGAATCAATTGTTGATTGATGTGTTACTGAAAATGACGACAAATGAACAACCAAAGACCGATCTGATTCGCGAGTGTCGATCCTACTACCGAGATAATGATGAAGAACTGAAAAAAATCGATGATTTTCATTTGTGTTACTCACCTGATCAAGCGATATCGTGATACACTCGTGACTCTTTCGTTTATCGTTTATTAAATAAAGCACTTCGAACGCAAGATATCGATGTTATTTTTCAATTTCGCTGTTTTATAAATGGTCTTTATTTTCAATTGGAAAGTGAACATACAAAGTTTGTTGAAATGTGTAAAGATGATGATGGAACTATTGAAGAATATATTTTGACAGTATATCGTGGGCAAAAATTAAAATCTTATGAGTTGCAAACGTTAAAGGATAACATCGGCAAATTGGTTTCAGTAAATACATTTTTTTCAACAACATACGACAAAAATGTTGCCTTACTATTTGCAGGCAACGGTAGTAACGTTATTTTCTCATTGGTCGAATGTACTCTATTTGAAATAGAGATTTGCACAGCGGTTAAAACGAAAAAGCCCTATGCTAATATCAAAGAAGTTAGTTTTATGAAAGATGAAAACGAAATATTATTTTCGATTGGAAGCATTTTTCTAATCGAGAGTATCAAATAGGAAAGCCAAATATGGACGATTAAATTGAAATTGCAGTCGGATTATCCGGATGACGATCCGATGACAATACTCAGCCGTCAGATAAGTGAAGATGCATCGGATGAATACAATGAGTTGAATAGTTTAGGCTATTTACTCTTGGAAATGGGTGCACATAAAAAGCTGAGAAATACTTTCAAATGATTCTTAATAACGTGCTCGATAAACTTCATCCAGGTATATCAGTAGTTTACAATAATCCGGAATTTTATATCAGAATACAGATCAACTATCAAAAGCCTTAGAATATCATAATATAGCACTTGACATTACATCGGACGCATTAGGACCAGATCATTGGTTGATGGCTTCATCATATAGTAATCTCGCAAGTGTCTATGATGCGATAGGTGATATAGCAATAGCTAAGCGCTATTATGAAAAAGCCATGGAAATTCAAACGAAAGTTGATATTCATCACGAAGATCGGAAATTTAGCGCTATTTACTCAAACATTGGTGGACTTTATAGAATGAGCGGTGACATTTAAAAAGCGACCGAATGTCTTAACAAAACGCTAGATATTCAAATGAAAACGGTAGGTCCGAATCATTTCTCGCTCGTATCCACATATACTGGTCTCGGAGTTTGTAGATAAAAGATCTTCAGATAAAGAAAATGCAGCTAAAGCCGCACGTGCTCGGACCCGTCAAAACGTGATCGAAACAATGCGGCTACCACTGGTGAACATATAAAAGATGAACCTACAGAGGTTGTAGTATTGCACTAGGTAATGTCTTGAAGGTAACAGAGTTACTTCTCGGAAATGATAAAATATCCGTTTAGTAATTTTATATGTGTATTTTCAGTTTAGAGTATCAAACTCCATCACCAGCAAAAAAAAGAATTGTTGATTATTATTATTATTATTTTTTTTTTATTGTTTATTAGTTATTGTTGATCAGTATATTACTTACATATATTAAATAGAATTAATATGTTTTCTGTAAGTGTCTTGTTTTTTCTTTTTTTATGCATACGCATCTCATTCATGATATATTAAATACACTGTGAGATCTTCCGATTTCACAATATCATCTTGAAATACATTACTTCTATCATTCCCTTTATTCGTTGCAATAGTACACGCGGTAGATATCTCCTGGCATAGCAGGGTCGTTTTCATTTTTATTCCAAATTCACCCCAAGCAACTCTACTCATCAAACGATCAAGAACACGCCTTTCCTGATTTCCAAAGTTCAATGAAAAAAATAGAATAGTTGTATGCGTCACACTAGTACACATAGTACCATTCAAAAGAGCTCGCTGAGTTGTGTGTGTCGCACTAGTTTTCGTGTCTGTCACACGTCACACCAAGAATGTTTACGGAAAATACGAGTTTTTGAAATATGCTCTCGGAGAAAACATTTAGCGTTGGACTGGGATCTCTATTTCATATTTTTCGGATTGGTATCAATGTTGAAGCAACACAAACTATACCATTCGATAGAGCTCGCTGAATTGTGTGTGTCCCACTAGTTTTCGTGCCTGTCACACGTCACACCGAGAATGTTTGCAGAAAATACGAGTTTATGAAATATGCTCTCGTAGAAAAAAAACTTAGTTTTGGACTCGTATCTTTGTTCGAGAAGGTTTTCAGATTTTAGGAGTAGTGCGTTGGAGAGGCCTTGTTGAGTTCTTCATGTCATACTAATTTACCATTCTGTCACACGTCTAACTGAGAATATTCTGGAGAAATATTAGAATATCTAATCAACTTATCCTACGTAAAAACATCTGACTTTATTTTATTTAATACTCTCGATGAAGAAATTTTATGGATAGCAAGTTTTGAAATGAAAGTCACTCAGTAAATGCTATGATGTTTCCACAAAAATATTAGCTTTTTAATCGTTTTTTTTATGGTGTTTAATTTAAGAGAATAGAATGTACGGTGGTGACGCTAGAATTAAAAAGAATACGAAATTCTTCAAATTTTGGAGAAAATTTGCTACTACAATAGACAACAAAAGTATTTTACCACTTTTGAAATTTTATTTTTTTGAACAAAATAAACTTACACTATTATGATTACATGTGCATGTAACATAGACAGTGTAGTGTATATAATAATATAATAGATCTGGGAGAATAATTAAATAGTAAATATAAATAAAAAGAGAAGGCATGATCGAGAAAAACGTGTCGGTATGACTTTTCATGTTTGTTTAAGATGAATCATCAGATTGTACAAGACACTCTTTATGTACATTTTGTTTGTCTATTAATGCATACTATTTATAATAAATTTTTCAGCAAGTAAATTTTTCCCATTCTTCAACCGTCACGGAAACAATATTATTCTTTGATAATGGATGATGATGACGTACTGTTTCTTCTCATTCATGAAAAGTATCTTCATCTAACCGGTTCATCGTTTTTACTGCTGTAGATGGCATAACTTTGATGTCTTCTATCTCAAAGTAACCACATACACTGGAAACAAAATAATAAAGGGCGGGGTGATTAATTGATGGAATCGGCCCTTGCTTAAATTCCATCGACACATACATGCTCAGATGCAGAATGAACAGGAGAATATTTCTAGCCACTCCGTAAAACCTTAGAAATAAGAAGTTTAGTGCAATTGCGGCTGAAACACCCTTAACTTTGTTTAACATGATTAAGAGTTTATTAATAAAAATATTTATTAAAACACGAATTTTCGACCTATTTATACGGTC